CAGATTAGTCAAGATCCTGCAAGATTACATCGACCATTGCGAAATACTCACTATATAGTATCGTGCAAATAAAAAGATCTGCCTTTCTTGTGATGTTTTCCACGGTCTTGGCCCTTGTGCTTGTAACTAAAAATGATAAGCCATTGCCATACATCAGCAGCAGTGGACTTGCCAGTCTTCCAAGCCCGTCGTAATGCATAAGCCACGCAGTTGGTTGCGAAAACACGATATTCTCATACAAACAGAGACAGACAACACTCATTATGGTGCTAAAGTCTGTTGCTGCGTTGCTGATATCAGCACGAAGCTGCGTCAGTGCACGTGAATAGAACAATAGACCCTGCTCGCAGGCTTGTCTATCACGATTCCCTCTGCCAAAGTACATCGCCGACAATGCCTGCACGCATGACTGATGCAGGGCCGATCGGGGGGCCGTGAGTAACTGGTACAACATTCCGGCTGCTTGCATTGGATCGCCGCTAGACATGCCAGGAGAAAACTTGGACAAAGTGTAGGGCAGAAAGAGAGTCTCTCTCGGGGGTGGCAAGTAGTTTATCTGCGATTTGGGAGTTTTGGCACACTTTGTCAAGGTTTTGGTAGTAGTGCTAGGGCGGCTACATTTTGTCGTTGTTGCAGGCTTCGCAACAGCCTTGGACCTACAAGTGACGGTTGAGGAGAAACGGGTCCCCTCATCGACAAACTTTAGTTGGCTATGATATCCTGAACAGGTAAGACCTGCGTTTTTACACCGTTGGCAATGAGGTTGCTGTTCATCTACGCCAAGGTCAGTTTCGAGGGACTTCTCGGTGGATGGAGGAAATTCAGACTCACCGCATTTAACCTTGCGCTCAACGCATGTGCCGCATCGTTTGATACGTCTTCCGTGCCGAGTCATGTGGAGACTGTCAATGGGCCTCTGAAACACCAGATCAGATCAGATCAGATCAGATCAGATCAGCTGCCGAAGAAAAGAGTTAGATCGGGCCTCCCGAGTGACAGGTTCGTAGGGCTGGGGGAGGGAAAGCTTGGCTGCAGAAAGAGGGTTTCAACCTACGGGGGCCAGGTCTTGAAATACCCCGTAGGGAAATCGATGGCACGCTAGGGCGCCATGATCACGGATGCGGTTAGGGTAGCTTTTTCTTTTTCAACGCGTGGAGTCGTAGTGGTGAGCCTGCTCGGTTAAGGAATTGGATGTTCTAGAACAATTCAGATTTGTTCTGAAGGCCGTGCTTTGGACTTTGAAGAGGGTCAGTATGGGAATAGCGATGGCCAGTAACCCCGATCAGCATTCCACAGCGATCAATTTGTCAGATTGATGCTGTTAGCACCTCACTGTAGGGTATTCGAGTGCCGACGTGCCGAGTCACATCTAATCGCATTGTCGATCTGGATACCCCCCGTATATATAAACATAACGCCGGGGTTTCGGGGTGATAAAACCCCTTCATGACAACAAAAGACCCTGGCAAGAAGCAACCATACCCCAGGTAAACAAGATATTTGCGTCATTCACGATCCTGGTGCGCGTCAAACTGAGATCTGCTACGGTTTGGTCTATTAAAGCCAAGTAGGGACCTCTCCCTGAACTACCGGATGTGGCTAGACAAGCTGAGCTTCGGCCGTTAGCTGCCGGCGATTGTCAAAACACGGATGTCCATCTTGAGTATCCCTGTGGGGAATTACATTCAGCTGCCCTCAATCTGGGGAATAAGGCGAAAGCTCAGCACTGTAGCATTTTAGAACGGTTGTTAGCTAGGATAATCAGCAAGGCATTTCATACACTTCACCCTGTATTGGCCCAGTAAGTTTGGTAGTCCTGTACTTCTTTTAAGTCAACTAAGGGATCTTTGGATTCCCCTCCCTTTGGCCAGTCCTCCACTAAAAGAGAGCTTCTTATTCGCTAAAATAAGATTTAGTAACGTCAATTGGCTACATTTCACTCAATCAAAGCTCGAGTATGCTAAAATGGCCAAACACCCGGGAGGCCATCATTGGCAGGTTCCCGGTCAGCAATGAAGATCTGACCATCTCACGGGAGACACGGAACTTCCCTGGTCGATGTAGTATATATAGCCGCTCTCCTTCTCCTGCTTCGTCAGCCCAAGTATTTTCTGACGACTATTCAAGTCCATCACATCATCTTTGACCATGCCTTCACCAACCTCTACCCTCCTCACTGCCCTTAGCCTGGCATCCATTCTCCAAAGCACAACTGCACAAACTACCACCTTCGGAGACAGTTCCAACAACGGCGTAAAATGTCCCGGCGTCCTACAAGCCAGCGGCAGCGACAACGACGGGACCTGCTGCGTCGGCGGAAAACTCGACCTCAGCACTTGCGAAGGATGGCCCATCTGCACTGGCAGCTCCTGGAAACCCAAGTCTGTTAGCTGTGCTACCCGCATACCCGTCACGGCGAAAGGCTACACATCTCTGATTGAGAGTGCGAGCTCAAAATATTTGCAGGGTTCTGAAGCATCGGCTACCGATGATTCTAAGCCGTCGGCAACCAGCACTGGCGAGAGTAGCAAACAGGCGGCTTCGGCCACAAATTCTGATGCCAGTCCTTCTGAGACAGGCAACTCGTCGGTTATGAAGATGCCAAACTTAGTGGGCGGAATGATTGGAAGTATCTTGGCCATGTGGGTGTTGATGTAAAGGCGTCCAGCTGGTAGTCCCCAGGCCATAAACGTGGAGGATGGGACATGTATTTGACGGATACTGGGCATACTTGGCGAGATCTTTGACAAGTTTGGGTCACCCAACCTCTTGCTCTTTTCGTCTTTTTTCCCCGACAACGATCGTTTCGTTCACTACGTGAACTTACCATCAGCCATTCTCTCTCGTATCGCACCAACAGAAGCCCCCACCACTCTGCCTACGCTCTTGTATCCCACCACATTGTAACGATATATACTTATTTTGCAGTGTCTCCCCACACATACGACCATACCTATCAGAGAACTCGGGATCCCGTCCGCTCTCCCATAGATAAGCTGGTAAGGGGCGGATTAGTAGTTGGGTCGGTGACGACCAGCGAATCCCCGCTGTTGTATGTTTTTTGCTACCTGAAATGATTTGATCGTTCCATTTGGCTTGTCTTTTGCCGATCATGATACATGGCAAGGACTTCGTTAACATTGCTTTGTCCAAAGCTCTTTCATGTACAAATATATGTACGACGTATCTTGTGACGGGAAGTGGAGATAAATACAAGGCTCTCATTGTTCTCTCTCCTATTGTACTCAGTCCCTGATAGCCTTGCGAAACTGAGTGGTTTGTATCAACATTACATGGTAGTCTCACTCAAGAGAATGTGACTCTCAGTATCTCTGCCCAGAACATCGCAGTATCAACCATCGCCCCAAACTCCCAATAGCAATCTTCTCAGAATCTCAGAATCAGACCCATCCACCCTGAACTTCAGTCTGACAGTGTGTAAAGTTCTTGTCCATACGTCTGGTCCTCTACCATCCGCCAAATCGCTTCCCAGGTGATGTGCATCTTGTAGGCCCAGTCAGGATCCTCACCATAGATGTATTTGACCTTTGTCCAACGGTGGTGTGGTTCATCCTTGGGTGCAGCTTGACCGCTGCGGATGACCCAGACGCGAGCAACGAACTGCGCGTGGTGTTCCTCAAATACCGCTTCCTCTTCACTTGTCGTGCTTGTAGCTGGTACCATCATGATGTCGCGAACTTCATACCACGTAAGTGGGCTGAACCACACCTCTTGGGAGTCTTCGAAGTATCTGAAGCCAGCCCAAAGACCTCCCAGCATATCCTCCCCCTCAGTATGGCCATGTAGGCCGATTTGAAGTGGCTCGTGTTTCGGGGGTCGGCTCATCATTCTAGCGGTGGTGTACGAGCTGAGAAACTGTACCAGGAGGCCGCGATATCTTGCGTCGTTTGCCTTCCAAGCAATCCCGACATGTTGTCTCTGAGATTCTTTTGATGGTTCTACACCCTCTTCATGTTGCGGATTGTCTGTCCAAAAGCCGGGATTATGCCAAAATGTGTCGACTGACTGCGATACAATGATGAGCTCCTGGAGATGGGGTAGCTTGTCGAGTTTGAGCTTTCTGGCTGGCGCAAACTGGTCTTGAAATGTCGAGCGGTGGTTCTGTCGTAGGCTGCTTGTCCATGATATGAAGGCAACACGCAGCTTTCTCGTCATTGAAATGAGGCGCTTGACCGGAAGACCTGCAGCCTTTCCGACACGCGAGGATGAGGAGCTTGGCAGCTGCATTTCCCACACTCGCAGGGTATCTTTTTCTGGGTTGAAGCTAAAGATAGGCCGGCGTGGGGAGATGTACATGGTGGAGAAGGCTCTAACCCGGCGCACTCGGCATACGGCTTCGTAGATGCTGCGGCATGATAGCTTGAGCGAGAGTAAGCTATGTTCACCTGCAGAGGTAATCGATCCGGCCGGTACATGGCAGGGTACTATCAGCGGGGGAATGGCGTGAGAGATGATCTCGTCCTGCACCTCCCGAGGGAGTTTGAGGAAACAGTGGAATTCTGACATGCTCTGAAGAAGTCAGTGATGTGCCTGAGTGAAGAGAGGCTGTAGTGATATAACGTACCAGATCATCGCTGGCCTGCGCGGTTGAATCAGAGGTTTCCATGGAGAAGATGGAATGAGGGAAAGAAAACAAATGCAAATCAAAATAGAGTGAAGGCGGGAGAAAATTATGTTTGACAGTCGAGGTGAATGGATGCGGTGGCGTAGGTGGGCACTGCCATTGTTGTGCACTGTCAGGCAGCTGTTCACCGGGCTGTTCACCAATCTCAAGCTCCGATATCAACGTACAATTGAGTTGCGCTTGATCGTTGTCTGTGTTCACTGGATACGATGCAGTTTCTCAAACTTTGCATAACGGGCTCAAAAAACGCTGCTGCTTTGATGTCTCGTGAAGTCGGTGATCTTTCATTCCGAGTCTTAGCCCTGCGCCGAACGGGCTCCTAGACGCCAATTGCTAGCCATGCCTTTATCCATTCGGGCGAATGGTTTAGTGGTATAATACTCCCTTAGCATGTTCTCTTCGTTGAGCTCGTTCTTGGGAGTGGTCCAGGGTTCGATTCCCTGTTCGTCCAAATTTGGTGGTTTGATTCCACTGTTATCCACATTTTTTGGCCTCAATCGCGATGTTTCACCTTGGGTTGTCTGTGTTGCCCGAATTGACCTACCCGGCATCAACACCGGTAGCTCAAGGACTGGGTACAATGAAGATGTTTGCATTCCTTATGAAGCTAATTTGGCAGGTTGATAAGGTTTCCTCCTTTTTTCTTCCATCATACCATCCTTCCTCTCCTAGGAGAAACATCCCCGGGTTGACACCAGACTTTCTCCTAGATTATCCAAACTTTTCATCGTTGCAGTTGATAGGGTAAGCAACTAATTTTTGAACTTGAAAGAAAACACATCGACAATGCATCGAACAATCGAGCCTACCAAGGCCAAGCATAATAAGTATGTATATGCTTCACGGGCATTTGACCAGTAAATTATCAATCTTGCAAAATCTGCTGTGTAACACCAAAAGGAACGAAGTCAATGCCAGTCAGACCCCAGTAGCCGGGAGAAACTACAGGCCCCACAAAAGGGACAGCTGTTCTCATTCGCCAACCGTCAGGGGAAACCCTGTACAAGCCAGCCTGTCACTAATCACCTTTGGGGAACCTTATCTTCCACTTTCTACGGATACAGATACATACACCAACCAACCCAACTCAACATCCCACCCACCACCTTCAGCCTTGTCCGCCCCCCCCCCACCCCCTCCACCTC